ACAATTGAATATGTAGTGTTTCCGACTTACATTATTATAAATTATTATGGAAAAACATTTTAGAAATGAATAAGTGTTTATTAAACTTTAATACAAAACATTAATTTAAAATTTACCTTAATACAATTGAATATGTAAATTAGAAATAAATAAGTGTTTATTATTTGAGTGGTTACTCGTTAATGATAAAGCCAAGTAAGCCAATTTCTACTGTTCGATTTATGTTGAGCCATTGTCCAAGCGAGACGGCTTTCTTTCAGTGCGTTTTGGGATCGTAGTTAGTGGCAAAAATCATTCTAATGACAGCAAAACGCAAAAAGCTCTGAAAGTGTTAAGTGGCTGCTCATTAAACTTTATGTACTGCCTTGCTCTCCGCCGGCAGTTCGGTTCGGTTTGGATCCGTTCAGCTCGGTCCGCTCCAGTCCCGCTCCTCGAAGTGTGATTGTGTGTGGGGAGGAGGTTGGTACTCGGGGATGGGCCTTAAACGATTGCCCGACCAGCGTCATTAGCACTTTTAACCGCATATTACATTTAGTAAAGCCTTGATTAATGGGTTCGCACATCATTTTTGTGCATTTGACCAGCTCCAAGTTCCGGCTTCCGTATCCGTATCCGAATCGGTATCTCGGGCTCCCAGCAAACGCGAGCGGTCTTTCTTTCGAAAATCTTATCTTTCAATGAGTCGCAGAGACAAATGACACGTGATTTTATTTGATTTACTTACATCTGCAGCTCAATTTTCAGTTTGGCTTCTGGAGAGTCGAGTATCTCGTTCTACCGCTTTTCGTCGCTGGCCTTTCTTATGGCCAACAGTTCCAGATACAGTTACAGATACAGTTCCCTGCTTCTTCATTTGGCCCATTATCCGAAATGATTCGATCATTAGCGACGTCGTTCCTGGTCGCAGTCCGGATTGTTGTGTTCTGTCTGCATTACGGATAATTAGTGGAATGTTGTGACAACATTTCCCTGCCTTGTCTTCAAATTACTTAATTTTAATGGCCAGCCATATCGCCAAAAAAGATTGAGCCATATAGGGAAATGTTGAAGGCGGATTGCTTTATTACTTCTTCGTTTTATGAACTCAACAGTTGGTAGCGATAATTGAAATCGAAATCTGAATCAGGTCTTTTCATTGGAAAACGAAATGTCTTCCGAAGTCAATATACTTATACGTATACTTATTAATAAGTTGCAGTCGCATTTTTATACAATTCATGCAGGAATTGTATAAAAAGGAATATAAATGACTTCCTTTAAAATACAAAATTTTGCGTATCATTTTTAATGTTATTGTGCATATATGCACAATGTTATTGGGCATGTATGCAATATGTTGTATTTTACATGGGTTTATGATAGTATAAAATTAAAAATGTTGCCTTTTAAAATTAACATTTTTTTTTATTTATATGACATATATTTTTATCATAATTTTAAAGCCCGAGCATTTTTGTGAGCAATTCAAATAAAATACCTGGTGTTGTTTTTTCATAAATTTAATTAAGATTATAAAATAGTGATGTTTAAGCTGACATCTAAAGAATCTTATCGCTGTATCATTCATTTTATAAAGATACATTGGCAAATATCATAATAATAATTTTAGAATTGTGTTTTTTTCATGAATTTAATTAAGAATATAAAATATTGATGTTAAGCTGACATCTATAGAATCTTATCGCTGTATCATTCATTTTATAAAGATACATTGGTAAATATTTAATAATAATTGTAGTACCTCCTTTATATGATTACTAACATCACTATACAAATTCAGAATCTGCATTCACTTTATGGTTTAATTTCCGCTCCGCCGACGGCAAGTGCACGCCGACTCTGTCGGATCGCCGGCAAATGGTTGCCCCAAAACAAATACATCCTACTCATACTAGCACTCACACTAGCGCAACAACAACAAACACCACAATAGGAGCTGTCAAAACGGCGGCCATATTGAAAGTCAGTCAAGTATTTCGAAACTCGGAGGGGCGGAGCCCATCGACGCGCATGCGCATGGAGCAAGTGCGCGTGCGAGCGAGGCGACAAGTGTGTGCGTAGAGTGCGTCGCATGTTGAGCGGCCATGCCACCGTTATTTCTGTATCGCTGTGTGTGGATGGTGTGGAGTAGAGCGCTTTTCCTTGGACATCGCATGCGCATCGCACGGCTGAAAAGGAGGAACTGCACAGGGCCGCTCGAGGGTCCGTGTTTCAGGTCCGGCAGCGAGCCCTCGACATCGAATTCGAACTCGAACATTCGCTGGTGTGGGTGCGCTCTCTCTCAGGTGACTGCCAGTGTATTGGTGGCTGACTGCACTGGTGTTAGTGCGATCTCCGAATTTTCGCACTTCGAAAGACTTTCGAACTCGACTCAAAACCGGACTTGGATTCGGTGTTCGGTTTGGTCCCATAACTGGTTTGCTCTGGGCCCAGTTTACCTGCCTTCTATTCGGGTATCTTTGCATCTGTATCCGTATCTTTGCATCTGTGAGTGTGCTAAGTCCGATTGCGACTCCAATTTCCCGGGATAACCACTGCAGTCGGTTAGGCGGTTGCCCGAATCGCTTTTTGGGAGTTAATATTCTATTAGAAGCTCATTTGGCTGATTGCCAGCCAGGATGTGTAATGGCTTTTTTGCACAATTGAATTCGGCACTGGGAACCAAGCAAATGAAGTTTGTTTTCCACTTCTAATTATCGAGCAGTCGCCCTTTCAATGATTTATGGGAATTGATGGATCGAGAGATGGATCGATGGCCGATCGGTTGATGGATTGTGTGAACCCGGTCTTCAGGCACTTGTCCGCTCGCTTCACATCGCATCGCGCTGTCTTCATTATTAGCTCGAGTGGATTTCTGACATCTTGCTTTGTTTCCTACAAATTCTCAACCAGTCTCAATTTGCTTTTCGTAATTAATGATTTATCTTAGTTTTCTTGAAGTGTTGTCTTATTTCCAGTGAAGTGATTATTGATAGTTTCTCCATGGCGCTCACTCGATCTGAAAGTGTGAGATGTCTCAAGTGTCTTGGTATCCATCTCGAGTTAGCCCCAGGCATATGGTTCTATTAACGAATGTTGCAGTTTGCTTGTTGGCAGATGGCGGAGGTTACTGGTAGATAAAATATTAGCTATTTACATCTTTATTTCCTACCTCTCTCTCATTATTAATCATTAACCTTTATAAAAGGTAATATTTGACTGATTTTACAACATCATTTTAAAACTTGTATAATATAAATTTCGCTGGAATTATTTCTGCCTAATTAATTTTTATCAGAAACTTCTATGTATGTAAAAATAACTAATAGTATATACCTTATAAGAACACTTTTTGAAAACAACGAAACTATAAAATAGTTTTTAATCTTATCAATTATTTTTTTTCAGCTGATTTTACGACATCGTCGCAATCGTCCGATTTATATCACACAGAAAACGACATAATATAATAACTTAAATCTAGTATAGACCGAAATAGAACACATAATGATCAAAAACAACATTACTTTATGCCCATTTATCTGAATACATTTCCACGACAGCTATATTATGTAGTGCTTCCCGTTTCGACTTTTAATAGGAAAAGGACTTTTATATCTTTAGAACTGAGAGGAAAGTTGATTCGAATCGGACGGACCTTTTTTTTAAATTTCCGACATTTTCTAACCTGCTGCGTTTCAAACTTAGTCTGAAATCAATATATCCTTTGCAAGGGTATAAATATACTTAATGGGTTCCAATCAAAATAAAAATACAAAAGTTTTTCGTTAGGCGGAAAAGAGTCCGACTTAAAAAATCTATTTTAATGAAATATTTTAACGATTCGACTAACTATATTTTTAAAATAATTATAATTATACAATTACAGTTACAATGGTTCCATTCTTTTCTAATTTAAAGGAATTGTTTTATAGACTTTATTCAAATAAACAACAAACTAATATTAATGCTCTCGCACATTATGCCATCACTCAAGCAATATGGATAATTTGGCAGAAATTACAAAACTGTACACGAAAATATCTTTGTAATAAGCCATTCAACTCATTATCACACCCCATCAAATATGAGACTCACGGCATAAGTATGTATTCTTTAAGATCTATATCTCTACACTCAGTGGACTAGGTAGGATCCATAATGAAATTCTATTTGAGCCCCAAGTAGGAACCATTTTAATTAACTTCAGCAGACCGAAAACCAAATAGGAACTCAAACTTGGCAGATATTTGTGGGAAATATGCGTCCTCTCGATGTCGCTGATTCGGCCATGGAAATGCCATATTCACATTCGCATCCGTGAGTCCAAATTGGCAGCTGCTCAAATCGGAGGCTATTTATGTCATCTAGGGATGCGTTGTCATTGCGGTGAACACCTCGGTGGAAGGTAGAAGGATGTCTGCTGGGTGTTTTCCAAACTCAAAATTCTGCTTGAATTATTTATGTGATTCTGTGACATAAACGTGAGCACATTCACTGAGTTTTGCGATTACAAATGGCTGGCGATTACGCCAACAATGAAATTTCAATTTGTTTGAGCTCCTGGCTGGCTCAAAGATCGGGTTGAGTCAACCTGAAGTGAGTTTATGCGGGTGGAGCAGCTGGTGATCGTGGTCTTTGGGTCCGGGGCTCAGGTGTCTGGGTTGGCCATTGGTCAGGGCTTTGTTAATGCCACTTGATTAATCGCTTATTATGATGTCAGATTAATAAGATCGTTTCAGAAATGGTCCGCGGTCGAGGCCTGCAAAAAACAAATGTTTAGTGACTTGTACCACGTGAAATTGTTATATCGATTCGGTGCTTACCCTCTGACGTAATCAGTGGCCTTCGAAAATCTCCATTCATGCGATTAGTGTGCACTAAAAATCACAGGGTATTCAAAAATTATTAAGTGCATACAAAATAATTAAATGACAAAAACGTACCTTCACTATTAGAAGCTCCAGACAACTGGGACTCACTAAAATAAAAACCCATCCTAATAATAGCCGCCTCGTTATAAATTTTTAAATACTATATTTTTATTATAAATATTACAAATAAAAACAAAATCTCATTTGTAATTTAATTATAATTTTCTTTATGCTTTCCGCTTTGCAGCCCTTCCACTGCATTCTCCGCTCATTTCTTTACACTAACGTTTAAATTTTATTTACAACAAATTGTTTAGCTTCCACATTTCGTCGAATTTCGCACAAATGCTTGGGTTTATTTAATGTTTTAGTTTTGTTTCAAATATATATATTTTAATCAACGCTTTCGAATTTTGTTTCTTGTGAATTTCTACTTTCTACATATATATTTTTTTTTTCATTTTTTAATAATTTTCATAATTGAAACTTAAATTAGTTTCTTACAGAATGAGGCCGAAAGTTACGTATCTGGATTGAGTTGAATTTCGCTCTGAAGGTTGTTTAGCCAATACGACGCAAAGTTTTTTCAGATTTCAGATTTCTCTTGACTATTCTGTTCTATTGCAAATCACAAATCCTTTCACCTGGGATTGGGAATCGGGCTGGGAAGGGAAATGGGACTTCTGGGGAAGTTACAAACGAAACACTCTATAAAGTTACATGTTTTGTATTAGGCTTGTTTAAACATATATATCTACATATAAACATATGATACTTTATAGTTTTCCATCCCGTCCTCCTTTCTTTCTCCTTCGTTCCTTTGACTTTGGTATATGGATTTCCACAGATGGCGTGGAAAATGAGTTTAAGTTACGTACACATACATTAATATAGTTGTTAGGCAAATATTCATATATAAATCGTTCGGTTGCTCTTTCAAAGTGGTTTCCCTACTATCTCGTATAATAATGCATTTTAATTTACTACTTTACAGGGGTTTTGTTAGAATTCATTGTTTATACATATTTTTTGTGTTCCTCTGTTAACAATTTTTATTTCTCTTTTTCATTTGCCAATTGATATTTTTTTAATTCGGTATACTTTATATCCTTTTCGACCTAATTCGAATTTTGTTTTTTGCAAGAACTTAAAATTGCACAAGAAATTACATATAAAAGAAAGTACAGAAATAATGGGTATTTAAGCCAAAAAAAGAGGAACTCTCAAATTGGTTAAGCTTAAATATCCAATTGCGAGTTTTTTATAATGGATTACCGTAGAAATTTACATTTTTTAGGTTGGCCAATTTTTTGTTATTTCCTTCTATTTATAGTTAAGCTTCTGCCAGTTTCTAGGTTTTACTTTTCTTGTATGTGCAACACGTTTAGTTTACTTTAAGCAACGCTCTTTAGTGGTTTTGGTATCTCTTTCCCTAAACGTGCGACATTCACTTAGATCGAAGTTTTCTATTATCATGTTCAGAGTTATGAAAAATGTATAGGTTCGTGAACCAACATGCAATGGATTGTGACGCCATTTGTTTTTAATTTTATATTTATTGGATTTTATTTTATATTTTTGCGCTAGGATTGCTACAAACATTGATTTAGTTTAATGTTTAGGCTTTAGGTTTAGGGTTTATGCTGGGGTGTATATATAAGTTAATCGTACAGTACTTATGACGCGTAGAACTAATGTTATAGTATATATGCTTCATATATATTTATTTATATATTACTCCTTGCCTTTAGCTTTACTTGGTATCATTTATAGTTATTCATATATTTATGTGTATATATATGCTTTATAGTTAAATATAGCTTATTTAGATCTGAGGTCACATGAGTTGGTTTTGTTTGAGTTTTACGCTTTACTTGTATCTTTATCGTAATCGCTATCTTTACGTTTATCTTATTTCGCTTTCTCCACTTGCCTTTCGTGTACAATTAAATAATAAGTAGAAAATAATAACAATTAACTAAGTTGTAGGTAGAGTTCTCAGCTCTTCTCTTTGTTTAGTTTAGTTTAGGTTTGTTCACGCGAAGTTCAACGGATTGGATAGTTAATAGATAGTCCTCTGGGAAGTCGAAGTAAATTCATTTGCGCTCTCCGAACTAACGTAAATTGTATTTAGATAGAAATTTCATTTAACTGGGTAGACTCCGTCTATCCTACTGCGGACTGTTGGGTGGCGTTATCTCGTCGCCTTCGCCTCCGGATCCCGGCTCGCCCTTCGTCTTGTTCTCCTTCTTCCACTTCATGCGCCGGTTCTGGAACCAAATCTTTATCTGGCGCTCCGTGAGACATAGGGCGTGGGCGATCTCGATCCTCCGCCGACGGGTCAAGTAGCGATTAAAGTGAAACTCCTTCTCCAGTTCTAGAGTCTGGTACCGGGTGTACGTCTGCCTTCCGCGTTTGCGTTCTGTTGGATCCAAGTAAATAAAACGATTTTCACAATTAAAATCAATGCAATGCGTGAGCGGCCACCAAATCAACGACAACAAATTCTACAATTTCTATAGGTTCACTATAGTGCATACGACAACCAGAGCTGGAGTAAATGTATATATACTTATATATTTATTGTTGTCTTTTATGTTTTTGTTCTTTTTCTCCCGGAGAATCGGACGAGTGACCAGGGAATGGGTAACTCAAAACCACATGAAGCGAGGCGCTGCGACTCTGAAACTGAGGCTGATTAAAAGACAACCTTACCGAATTCGGATATTTGTACTTGTCAAAAAAAGAAAAAAACAGAGCCTACAACAGGTCTGTGACGAGGGGTAGGAGGCCGAAGGGGCCTCCCTCCTCTCTGTCGGCCATCCCGATAGGAACTCCGGGTTTAATTTTCAAGCTATACCCTTTATAGGGGTATAAACACTTTAAGAAGCATTCAGAAAATACCCTTTAAAGGATTGCAAATTCATAAAGAGTTTGTAGGTTAAGTGGTCTTTTAATTTGATAAAAGTATTTTGTACTATTATAAGATATGTGTTAAAAAATTTTAAAGAAAATATATTTTACTTAAGCCTTTCTTTTAATAATAATCCCTGGGAAACGGGAAAGCTGATAATAAAATATTTTACCTATATTTATGTGCGCTATTTTCCCTATGTATTAATCTTAACGGTTGACGGTTGGAGCAATCACCGTTCGTTTATACCCGAATTTTGGTTTTACTTGTGGATTAAACTCGGCGGAGATTTCATGGACATCAAGCGGCGAGCAGACAAGGTAACTAATTATGCCCCAATGCGGTCTGTCCGTCGTTCATCGGCCCGTCCGTCCTTCTGTCCGTATCTTTGTCCGTAAAGCAGAGAGGTATCATGCCGCTGATTCAGGCAAGTGCAGTTTCACCTTCGAGTCTCGTTTCAGCCCCTCGAGCTCCTCCCGTTTGGACGGTAGCTGAGCATAACTGTAAAATAATTCGGCATAATTACGAAGGCTGCCCCTCCCCTCGAAACCGCTCCATTTCGAAAGCAACCAACCAAATGAGTTCGGCGCCTAATGACACTAACTATAATTATAATTTCGGTAATGACAAAAAAAAGAGCTCCGTGAAAATGTCGGGAAAAAATATGTCAAATATAATACGCAGCAGCAAATATTATAATTGTCAATGGCAAAGGTAGGTAATTGAAATGGGTTGCTAGCGTGAGAAGCCATTTTCGGGTGGAGTTTTCCCGTTCGCCTCTTGACTGGTTTTTCTGAGCTGCTTTTTTAGGGTTTGGAAAATGTCGGGCCGGAAATTGAAAGGCGGCCACAGCAGCATTGGCATTGCGGTGGCTTCTGACCAACCACGCCAAGCGGCAATCAGTGGAAGCCACTTCACCCCAAAAACGCAGCCCCCGAGGTGGGCAGTCCTAACTATTTTTTAATAACATCTTCAGCATTTGTCTTGCTCAACTCGCCCGACCAATTTTTTCTATTTTAATATTTTATGTATTTTTTGCGTCTTCCATCTTTGGCTCGAGGTCATTACATCATAAGCTCTTTTATGTATTTTTTCTCTCAGTTTTTTTTTGTATATTTTTTTTTTTGTATTTTGTGCGGCCACCATTAAGGCGCGCGGATCCAAACCATATAGAACAGAGGGAGGAGGTGGTGATGTACACAGGGGACCAGCGCAGCGGTGGTCAGAGCAGCTACCTTCTTTTAAATGACACGGCTGATGCCATGTCTATAACCCGAGGCGTTCGCATTTAATCATCATCAGTTAGACGAGTCGCTGCGCCGGCAAAAAATCTTGAAAGATTTGTGGCAAAAAGCGTGCGTGGTCATCCCCCTCGGCATCCGCACCCCTCCTTGTGCAGTCTGCGAAGAATCCACGGGGGGAAGTCCAAAGAGTTGAGTATTAGGTGCGGATTAAGAGCGGAATAAATGGGCTGGACTTTCGCCCCAGATGATAGATAGCAAATGGAGGAGGTACCAGGGAGTATGATATTGGCAAGTGTATAGTATACGCATGTATGTGCAACCAAACATTTGATGCATATTCCAATTTAATCATCAGCCAATACAAAGGCTTGCAATTATCACTCACTTCCCAAATCAAATACACTTCTTTTGCCTCAGTCCATTAACATTCCCGTACTTCCCAGCTGATTACTATCTTATTCTCCACCGGTACACGAACACGTTCAACACACGACCATTTCCATTTCCATTACCATTTGCATTTCCACTCCCTTTCGACGTACAGAAGCTTCTGCCAATAATTAGCAACACAAAGCTGTACGCCTGCCCCTCATGCATTGCAAATAAATGATTACTTTAATTGATGAAAACACCTACAAGTTATGCACACAAGACGTGGATCTCGCTGGAAAAATAAATAAATAAATACACTAGGGGCTGGAGTTTTCTGGAGGGGAGTGCATTGGCAATTTAGGAGCGGGCGCGCTCAGAAATTTGTTTTTAATGATGCCTTCACATTTCATGTTTCCATCACTCGGAGCTCAAGAAAAAACATATGTACAGTGTTTTATAGAAGTGAGAAAAAGTTGGAACAACCATGGAATACTTGTGTTCCTTAGATTCTTTTGAGGCGAATGGTGATCAGTTGGGGCGCCCCTTTCTGGGCAGGAGCTTCGAGTTCGCGCTGAGAAATTATTATAAACGCATTAATGGCGCTTTGAGGAGGGAAGCCAGGAGCAGGGGAACATGGAACCCGAGCTGGAGGTATCAACAACAGAAATATAATAAAGGTGAAACAATTAATATGAGGAGTAGCGATGTACGAGTATGTGGAGTAGCACAGGCAAGCCTCTGAGGTTCTCCGCTCCCCTGCCACGCCCCCGCCCCGCTGCCACTCCCCCGCCCCTCTCTGGCGGCTCATACATCTAAAGTGGCTGAGTGGTTGACTGGCGTACCGAGTGGACCGAGAGCATTAATGCTTTTTGATATGAAAGCGTATTGTAATTAAATTGCGATTAGGCCACCATTTTAACCATTTTACTCGTTTATTACACTGCCCCGGCCCCATAATGGATTTTATTTCATTTGCTTCCCCCACCAGCCCCTCCTTCTCCCCCCAACCTCCAACCGGGCACACACAATTACATTAGCGGCAGCTATTGGCTGTACGTGTGTCGGTTAACGTTTAAAGGAAATCATTAAAATAATTGCCAACAACATTTTGTGGAATTCGTTGAAGCAGGAAAAAATTAAAAAGCATTATTTAATAGCTGAAAAAATTCTACTTTATAATGCCCACAATGAATTATTATATTGGCACCGATTGCTTTTTCATCACACACGAGCTACGTCGAGCGGAACTAATACAATGGCCAGCATCGTGCGAGAAAGTTGAAAACATGCAAAATACATCCTATGGGGAAAATCTTGAAAATAATGAGACTTTAGGCCTCTGTATCTAATGTATTAAATGTTAAATGGATTGCTGATTTTTTGAATTACTACGAATATTTGTTTTTTTTTTCTAGCCGGTTGGCACTCGTTAAACCCTTTTCGCAAGCAAAATGGAATGGAATTACTGCTAATAACCTCCAAATAGATGACTTGGCCCCAGGTTAAGGCTATATCCATTCGCAACTGCAGCTGGGTGGTCGCCGCAGCACTGGCAGCTATCTTAGCCAAAAAGCACTCGTCATGCAACAAATACAAAAATGCATTTAGCAGCAAACAAAACGAAACGTAAACAAGTACAAGACATCGAGCAAAAAAGCTCACATCAAATGCGAGTAAATGTTTTTTTAATTGCGGAAATTACAGACAAACGCAAGCCGCCGCAACAAAGCTGGAAAATTATTATTATTTATGATCGTAAGTTGATAAATTTTTCATTCAGCTGAAGAGTGTTCGTGTGTGGCATTTTGTAAAAAAGAAGACGAATACCGGTGCTTGATGTCGCTTTATTCTCCCCGCCGTTCTGGTCCGAATCTGCCAACTCATTCGATGACTTTGTGTTAAACAAACAGTGGGTTAAGGGAGGGGTTCGGCGGAAAATTGAAGTGGGTGCTCCGTTCCAGCGAAAAAGTTTTCCACCAATTTGATTGTTTTGCATATTTGACGTATTTTTCCCGTCGCAAACTTTCCACTTGATGTTTTTTCACAACCTTTGGGGAGTTCAGCCAAAAGGAGCAGGAATAAATTCATCCCAAAATCCTTCTGAGGTTTGATGTCAGCCATTTCACTTTTTCCCTTTTTTAATTAACTTCAAGAATTTCCGTTTTTATTTAGGTAAGAGCGAGGTAAGAGCTACAATTAAATATTGCCATTGACCATTTGATTATTTGTTGGCAGTCTTTTTTTAATTTCCATCTGGATGCCCTTTTACATCTGGTTATAATCTCAGGAGACCCGACTGCGTTTTTAATTTGGGACTTGTTAAGCACTTAAGAGGGTTAAAAATCGACGACAGTTGACAAAAAATGGAGCCCGAAAATCAAAGAAAAGAAGAACTAAAAGGATCGCCAAGGAGTTGACTTGGGGCTTATAAATGCATTCATTTCAAGGGAAAGTAAAGGGGGACTTTAAACTTTATTTAGTTATCGTTTAAACAAAAGCAAAACGTGAATGGAGGGGAAAGGAAAACTATGCGCGCCATCTGATTGTTGTTGCGGGCTCTTCTTTTTTCGGCCGCTTCGCTTTCCTACCACCGTTGCGCTAACCTACACTTAAAACAGCGATGGTCACATTTCATAAAAAAACCCTACCAACACGAACAAAAATATCTATATATTTACAAATGTTAAAATTAATAGCAAACAAAATGTAATGCACTTAAATTGCGTAATACAGCGTTTTTACTTATTTAGTTCTATAATTGAAGCAAACTCAAAAAGCAAACAAGAGATACGCTTCTCCCAGTGCATGCCCTCCATTCCCCATTTTGGATGCTCACTGGGGCCATCGCTACCCATGTCAAAATATTTGACAGCTGACTAAAACACGCTATGC